AACTGCCTTGGAGATCAAACAAGGTCGAGAAGAGACTCCACAAGCATACTACAACCGACTCCGACAAGCCTACTTTGGTGCACACAACAAACCTGACCTTGAAGAGGATATGAACTTCAAAAGCCTCTTCCTAAGAAATCTGCACCCTGGAGTCAGCCACCATCTAGGCGTCATGGCCTGTCCACGCTCCATGACCATCCAACAGTTGCGTGACCTAACACAGAAGGCCTACAACAAGCAGAAGATGGCCTCAAAGAAAGGGAACAAAACATCCACACTCTTGAAGTCTGTCACCAAAAACTCAAGCCTTGTACCGGACGACACCCAGTGGCATCACAACACCAGAGTCCTCCATCAAGAGCACAGAGAACGTGACCCCCATGTCCACGACAGCTATCAGCCCAACCACTGGAAAAATTCATGGGACAACCATCTCTCACGGACAACCGTTGATAAACTCGTACCAAAGAACATCACCTCAGTCACCCATCACTCACTAACAAACTGTCAAATGAACTCCAACTCCAAGAACCACATTCCTGTCTGTGCAACAGCAACCACCAAAGCACAGAAACACACACAACATTACCTACACCCAGAGGTAACCACATCTACTGATAACACATTCAACAAACATATTCTTCCCCCAAGTAGAATATCCACATTTTGGCGTAACAAAGTTACATACACCCACCATGAAGAAACATGCAGCCATCCTCACAATAGCTAGAACACCTGACACTAAGTTAAGATACATGACACACTAACTGCACATGACATCCTAGCTCAAAAGTAGTTGCCAGCCACGCTAGGAAAACCCACAGCAGCTTTGTTTTGTTTTGTTTTTCTTTTGCCTATCCTTTTCCTTTCCCTCTTTCTTTAGTAGGTAAAACTCCTAGACACCCTGCAAGGGTCAAATGTCTGATATTAGGATTGACTCGCCACACCTAATATCCGCCAGCCACTCTAAACTGAATGGAAGCCAGAGAGCTTCATGCACGTTAGGTCAATTTATTTCATTGCAAATGATGTTACTAGAAAATTAACGGTAAACATTTTAAATTAAGACAACCTAGAAGAAAAAAACAAAGTTAATCACAAAAGTTGATCGAAGAATCAACGTACGGAACCAAATTAGAACAATTTCCAGATTTAACTAAAACATATTCAATTTACTAAACTAGTTTGACTAATTGAACTTTACCACCTGTACCTAAATAACCTGATGCCTGCACCAGTACAGTAACTGTCATGGAGGTGTTGACTTGTTGTTTGCTGTGTTTGTCTGCTTCTTCTGCCTTTGTTTCTCCAGCGCTCGCCAATGTCTCCAGCTCAACACATCGCCGACCGAAGGGGGGATGTGTATGGGTATCAGAGCGACTGTTTTAAGATTTGATCAGATTGGTGTTGAACAACCCAAAGAGCCGAATTCCACAAATGGGCCCAAGACAACAGGATGTTCGTAAATCAGATCCTAGCGCCAGACCTAGATCCTAGTCTGAAGCAAGCCTAACCAACCAACTCTTTCACAGAACAGCTTGCAACATTAAATAAAAGAACACTTATTGAAAATTCCAAGGAAATTGTCAATTTTGGGGCAAGTAATCAAGATTGATGGTCAAAGAGATGCACAGCATGACCATCACATGTAAATCCATGATAGTAATCACGATCACGAGCTCTTTGGATTGACTTCCCCCCACCTAGAGGACAAGAACCAGACTGAAATTCCTTATGAGACCTTTTAACCCCTTTGGTCTTCACAGAACACATTCTTACTTCACAGAATGGCACAGAAACTGCCTTTCCATGTATATATGCACCAAAATGAACTCAAAAAGACTTATAAACGAATATCAGTCCATTGCTTAACTCCATATCATGTATGTAACCCACACATTCGACTATCTTGTTCTAATCACTTATTGAGTATGTATTTTTAATAACTATTTAATAGCTTAAGGGTTCATATTCATGTTTAGTATGTATGAGTTTGAAAATTCATGCTTTAAACGTTTCTATCAATCAATACCTTGTCAAATATATTATATTCTGGTTATAGAAATCATGTCCAAATTATATATACAATATCTAATTGGTCAAGACACCATTTGGGATGTGTCCAACAGCCCAGTTTAAATACTCAGTACACCATCAAATTATGCTTCTAGCTTTTAGTCATCGCTTTTAGCCACTGCTTTTTAGTCATGCTTTTAGCTTTTTAGTCATCGCTTTTAACATTCTTTCAGCGCCGTTCAGGCGTGCTTCGGCCTGCGCCCAACCATTGGCTTCCCAAGACGTCACTTCAACGACTACTGAACTTCCAGCCAATCATCAACCTCGGGAAACCACCTTTTCTGCAACAACGACAACAAAGAGAACCCCCTATCATAAATGATTCCCTTTGAGCTAAATTTACCTGTTTCCCTTACACTTAGCATCTAGACAATCTTTAAGGATGTTCGATAGTTATCTGTATCTCCTCAACTATAATACCTTATTATGAATTATCGTATGACTGCAAGGGGGAAAAGTGAAGTGAGGAGAAGCACAGCGAGAGATGCGAAGGCGTATATGATTGACGAAGGTGTGTAGGATATTTTCACATCAACTGACTTGCAATCAACCTGTTTTAAGTCATTCAAATGATGTAAATAATAAAGTTCAATGAATAGGAAAGCCTATATTTAGCTGTATCTACTATAATCTACCTCGTCAGACAATGATTTATCAGAAAAAATTGTACTGGGACAGCAAAACTTCACAGGGCCTTGTGAAATAGCATCTAGCGATACCCCTGGTATAGGTATTTGTGACTAAAGGGTTATTGTAAGGGTAAGGGTACTGACGAAGGGTTTTCTTAAAGGAACACTCCACTATTTTTGAAAATAGGCAAATTTTCCAACTCCCCACACCATGGGTGCAGCAGGCGCAATGATATTACGTAGCAACTGAAAATAGACCCCAGCACGCTCCCTATGCCGTAAACATAAAACCCTGTCTGCATTTGTGATCAGAGAAATGACAAACAACAAGTGCTACTCTACATTGCCCAAAAAACTCGCTTTAAATATATAAAATATAAAAACTCTTTAAATATAAAAGACGTACTTACAGTCTTTGAGTCAGAACAGCCGGCATTGTAGTCTACTCTACCAGGATCAGGAAACAGTCCTCCATAAAATGTGCTGCACACATCCGAATATATTCACTATCGTAATTATAAATACACTGGTTTGTAGCGCAATAAGTTTTATCGTTTACTGCACTAATTACTTATTCTACAGCAGCTAAAAAAACGGAAGTCTCGCAGGCTCAAAGAAAATTGTTTACTTCCGCGTTGTCTAAATAAGGTGGATATTGTGATCAAATTATTTGTGAAATGTATTCTAATATCATTATTTTTCAGAAAAATTCGAGTGCGAGAGAAGTCCTCCTTTAGGTCAACAACAGCCAGTTCTACCCATAGAGAGCATCTACAAGCAGGCACCAGAGTGTGACCAGGGCTCAGTCTAATCTCCAGCAATTCTGCTATTATCTGCTCTATCCGTTCAAAGTCTAATGTCAAACCATCACCATTGTAAATAGCCAAGGGTCTGGTGTGGGGGCAGATAGTGGAGTTTTGATGAGTCAGTTGGTCTAAGACCTCCACAATAGGCTGCACAGGGCTCCACAATGGTGAAGGCCAGCGTCGGCGCCACGGGGGCCCGGCATAATAATTTGGAACACAGTGTGTGTGTGTGTGTGTGTGTATATATATATCACTAATTTCATAGTTATAAACAGTATTTCCAACTGTAACTATAGCCTGAATGCTGTTATATTTATACAAACTGGAACAATGCGTAGATGAGTGAGTGTTAATGGGTCACGTGCTGAATCGTCCATGTTAAATTAGCGCCGGCTTGTTATCACCTCATTAAATTGATAACGTGTAAAGTGTTATATTTTGATAACGGAAATGTTATGAGATTGAGATACATTTTAAGTACAGAGTATTTGAGTACAGATGACCTGTGAGTACAGGGTATAATGTATAGTCTTACGCTCTTTTTGATTTGAGGTAATATGATTTATTCGACGAAATTACTGAACTCGAAGATGAGGGGATGGCGGAATTGTTGAGCTTATTGGACATTATCAAAGGCTTTCCTATATTTCTTGCAAACACCAAAGAGAAAGAGGTTAAAGTAGATGACGAAGCCAAAGACAAATTGAGAGAATTAGATAGTTTAAGACTGGCAGTCCAACAGAAAGAAACTGAAATGCGGAAACTGATAACAAGGGAAATGAATAGCAGAGGTGACAGTGAATTGTTACCGAGAAATCTACCAACAACCCGGGTAAATAGCCCCACATGGCGGAAAGACTATAAAATATCAGGTCAGATTGGTGAACCGGGCCAAAAAGACCGACTCACATTTTCCAGTTTAGCACGCCAAATCGAGAATGGCCTTAGCAGAGGGTATTCCGAGACAGAAATAGTGGATGCTGTTATCAGGGACATTGTTCCAGGTCTGCAACTGCGGAGCTACCTTGAAGGTAAAAGTGATCTATCTCTGCCTACACTTAGGATGATTCTCCGCTCGCACTATCAGGAACGGAGTGCAACAGAGCTTTTTATAAGTTTATTTATTTAACTTTATTTAGAGTGATGGACCTCAGGCAAAAAATATTGTTTGCATCACAAGAGGTAGAGTCAAATCTGAAGTATGATCCTGTACTTGTACAGAGCATGTTTATGCACACTATACTTACAGGTCTGCAGAATGATAACATCAAAAGTGACCTCCAACCCTACCTGCAGCAACCTACCACCTCGGATGAGCTGCTTCTAGAGAGACTCAATATAGCCTGTGGGCATGAGAAAGGGAGACAAGATAAGAGGCGGCAGACACCACAGAGGCCAGCAGGTATGCACATTGTACAGTCCAGTGATAGCAATGGGAAAGGAAAAATTGAAATCGCATCATATGACCCCTTTAAAGGGGTGTTGCAAAGATATACATATTACATACACATTTTCATTGTTTTGTTTTTCACCTATACATGGACAGAATCCTTGTGAAGCACCTGCATAAGGAAGACCAATGTTATTTAGATGGAATCCACAATGTTTAAACTTTTCAATTTTAAAAATACCTAAATCAACAAAACAAAAACAAGAAAAAAATAATAATAATACATGCCCTACCACATGCACAACAAATTAGCACATACTGACCACATACAATACATATAACTGTGGCTTTCTATATGAGTAAGATGCTTGCATCTCAGATGGCATCAACATATTTGCACCACAAGTTAGGGGGGTGGCAGTTCCTGTCTGTCCGTGAGAAAGTCTGCTCACCTGCTTAATGTTCATTTTACTAGTGCCAAACATTTAATATCTACAAGATAATAGTAATGTTGAAAAACAAAATAAATTGTGAAATGTACAAGGATTAAAATAATGCTGGTATTGACGTGCTTTTTTCTTTCCCACACCAAGACAATCAGCTTTCATTATAGCAAGGGGAGGAGACAGGAGAGCCGGAAGCTGCTACTTTTGGAGTATGTTTTAACTACTGTACGAACCTGTAATGTACTACTTCAAATTTGTCTGAGCTGCAAGGATCTGCCAACATGGTGCATCCAGAACATCTAATCTTTGAATCCACCTTGCTGAATAAGCTGACTTCTGGCAGTGCATTTGCAATTGCTTTTATATTTCTTGTTTTTCAGTACACTTTCAAACTGGACTTTCAGTGCCCATGTAATGATTTTTACCAGTGGTTCTGCGGACTATATATTGGTCTTCCATTTATCGGACTTTTTTTAATACTGACCTTAACCGCTAAAACATTTACAATTATTTCTGCACTGTGGTGTTCTTGTATACATGCGTTATGGTCCCATGAAGACTGCACACTTGGGAACATTCTCCATGTATCCTGCTCCTGTTCAGCCTGCTCTCGTGCACGTTTCTGTCAGGCATGCAGAAGATTTTCCTGTAAAAATTTTATGAGAAACCTGTTTCTTTCTGCGTTATGGATCATAACAGTTTTGATTGATGGTGACGCTGTGGTGTGCTGGAATCTGACAGAAGAAAACATCACACGAACAAACGATCAAATTCCTTGTAAAGAGAGCAACAAACTTACTGCTGAAGAATCTGACAAGATTAAATATTATCAGGCTCTATCACAGGTATGTTATTAACCATCCAATAATATGAATATTGATCAAATCATTAATATAAAAATATATGCTGAATAATGAAACAATAAAACATTTAATCTTTGTAACTTTCTATACTGAAGCTTTTTCGTTGTATGATGTTGAGGTGATGTATTCCAATACAACAGAGAATACCATTACATACAATTTTTGTAAGCTATTCATATTTATATTAAATATGTTATGGATATGATCCTTCACTCCAGACTAGCATAATTGAAAATAATATTAAAAATGGACAAAGAAGGCTATTGGCAATCCGCTTTTAAATGTAATTGCATATAGGGAAGTCTGCGGTTAGTTGTCACACTTTTTAAATTTCTGAGGTGGGTATATTTTTCTTTATAGGCAGCTGAACATATTTGCTGGGGAGAAAGAAATAGATAATATAACACTCAACACCATTTGTGGCAGCATGCAGGGTGTGAATAGACTGCTAAAATCAGGGACTGAAAACATGGTCTATTTTAGATATTAGACATACTGTATAGTGACCTGGTTAAGTTATCCCCGTTAAATTATGCACTGAGTATGTTTCTAGTCCTGTTACATTTGCCTGCAATATAAATTATTTTAATTAGACCTGCAGTCAATGTAATAAAATCTGTACTGATTGATCCATATTGTATTTGATCTAATATTCATTTGTGGTACTTTTGAAACAATAAACAAGGTTATTTATTACTACTACTGCTAAGTAATGTTTCTTGCAGCGGTACATATAGTCATTATTGCCATCCAATAGCCAAACAAATGTATAGAAAAAATTACAGAGTAAAACAAATTATAAACCACAAAACAATTCATGAAATATAAAAATGTAAAAGGCAGCATTTAAAATATTTAGCCATTGTTCTGGCCAACAGAATCATAATCATTAATCAATTATATGAAATTACATCTTTAAAAAACACGACAGTCTACATAAAAACCTGCTCCATTATGGACACAATTCACCCTTTCAGTTAAAATCTGCTATCCTTTTATATCTTACATCAGTGTTTCTGAGGGTGGATTAATTATGTTTGATGGTATACCTAACAGGAATAGCAAAAATATGAGGAAGGATAATTTAAAAAGTTTTTGAACCTGGTGTTTGAGACCAACATACATTTGTGTATTTTGACTTTTGACCAAAAATCTTCAAATTATGTTGGAGGAATAACTTCCCCATGTGCCCATGTGACATAGCCGTGGTTGTCCCTTTACAAAACTATCCATGAAAGGTTCATTCTAAAACTTTGTAATAATAAAACTCTGTAATAACTATGCATATTTATGCAGGCTCATTGTTTTGTTCATAGGCGTTCGGGTTGGGATTCCTTTTTGCTCTTCCATTATTGTGGCTGTTGGTTTCTACATGTTGTCAGTTTTGCACAACATCCTATTACAAGTCTCTATTTGAAGACATATATGAAGAGGAGACAATAAGATATGCGGAGGAGGAAATGCGAGAGAGAGTGAAAACAAGTTCTAAAGAAAAATGTATTAATGTTTTAAATGTACGCAGAACTGATGGTTTACTGGACTGGACATACTTGTCTAACCAAATGATTGACTTAATCATGTCAAGAAACTCTGAATCAATGAATGAACCACCCCAGAACTCGGCAAGACCAGAACCTTCCTCAGCAAGACCAGAACCCTTCTCTGCCACCCCAGAACCTTCCTCAGCAAGACCAGAACCCTTCTCTGCCACCCCAGAACCTTCCTCGGCAAGACCAGAACCCTTCTCTGCCACCCCAGGAGCTTCTTTAGCAAGACCAGTACCCTCCTCTGCTAGCCCAGAACCTTCCTCAGCAAGACCAGAACCCTTCTGTGCCACCCCAGAACCTTCCTCAGCAAGACCAGTACCCTCCTCTGCCAGCCCAGAACCTTCCTCAGCTAGACCAAAACCCCCATCTGCCACCCAGAACCTTCCTCAGCAAGACCAGAACCCTCCTATGCCACTCCAAAAGCTTCCTCAGCAAGACCAGAACCCTCCTCTACCAGCCCAGAACCATCCTCAGTGAAACCAGAACCCTACTCAGCATTTATTAATTTAACAGAGTTACAAATGAGGAATACAATAACCGTCATCTTAAAGGCAATAAACATGAAAAGTGCTAGTAATACAAAGTTTCAGACATTGTTCAGAATAGTACAAACTAAAACATGGAGGAAAGTGAAAACATTAAGGAAAAGTGAAAGAACATAGGAAGATTTTTTTTTCTTTATGCAGTTTAGTGCTCATGGAAGAGATGAGTTTGAATACTGTCAGCTGTTCGGCATTCTGGATAGAATTGGAAAGATCATTCCACCAGTAAGGAACAGTGAATGAGAACATTCTGGAAAGTGATTTTGTGCCTCTTTGTGATGGTACTACGAGGCACATGGCTGTTCTGTATGCAAGCATCAATGTCATGAACTTTATGCAAGCCGTAACTGGAAGCCAGTGTAAAGAGATAAAGAGATGTGTGACGTGGGCTCACTTGGACTCTCAGTTGTAGTGCTGCATTCTGAATAATTTGTAGTGGTTTAATTGTGCATGATGAAAGTCCAGCCAGAAGAGCATTGCAATAGTCCAGCCTAGGGCCTGGACAAGAAGTTGTGCAGCATGCTCCATTAGAAAAACTAATCTTCCTGATATTGTGGAGTGCACACCTGCATGATGGAGCAGTCTTTGCAACGTGGTCTTTGAAGGTCAGCTGATCATCAAATATTAACCCAAGATTTCTGACTAAACTCAATGGGATTATTGTTGATGAACCTAGCTGGATGGTCAAATTATGCTGTACAGTTGGAGTGGCAGGAAAGACAAGAAGCTCTGTCTTTGCTAGGTTAAGCTGCAGGTGATGTTCTTTTATCCATTCTGAGATGTCTCCCAGACAATCTGAGATCTGTGCAACAACCACAAAACCAGAACCCTTATCTGCCACTCCAGAACCCCCCTCAGTCACCAAGAAGTGAGAGAGGGTGGTATAACACAAGTGTGAATTTAGCTTAAATACAATTTATGATATCATTGTTGTGTGTTACATATATAAATAATTTTTGGAGTTACATATATTTTGGATTTTGGTTCTTTTCCAGAGTAAAGAGGATCTGTACTTGCATGGCTAGAAAACTCAGGTATAGCCTGCCAACATGTCTGTGAACTACCTGCATCATGCATCTTTACATCAGTGCAATTGTAACAGCTAGCTGAATCAACTTTTTATTTTTCATATATAATCAATAGTCTATGAGGGTTGAAGGTAAATCGTTGTAGTATTTCTAGAAATTTAGTGTATATAATGCAGTTAAGCAAAACAAAAGAGGTGGAATGTTGAGATATTTTTTTATTTTATTTTAAACACCATCTAAAATCACAATTCTTAGATTAGTTTATCTGTACAATCTAGGAATTATTGCTTAAACATGCATTGAGGAGAATATGTTAATGCACTCTTGATGACCACTCATTTGCCTTCAGGTTGATGGTCTTTTTGTTTTCTTTCAGTTGGTTTTGGTTTTTACATTCCACTTATGTTTAATAATGATTTGCTCAGGGTATAAGAGGAAAGGTTATTGTTGATTACAGAAAAAGACTTTCACTTTGCCACTCCAGTGTTCTGATGAAAAAAGCTACCTACCTCAGATTATGCTACCAACATTTGCATTGTTTTAAGGTTAGTGTTTGGGGTAGGTTTAGATATTATTAAAGCCTAATAAATGTGCTACCTATTAGTTTAACTGTAGGTAGTACAAAACAATGGCACACGGCCTCTTTTGCACAGCAGTGCATTAACTGTTATAGCTAAGTTTGTCTATACAGTATATTGTTCCATTCTACTGTCATATATTTAAGAATGCAACTTAAATAAATTTGCTTGCTTTAAAGGCTTTGAGAATCTTTCCTTTCACTGATAAGGTTGAAAGCTAAAAGTGTTTGACCTTAAAAGTGTGATCTAAACATTTAGGTTAGATCATACATTTTCCTTCCAGTTCTAAGAAAGTCTTTTGCCTTTGAACAACAAGAGTTTAAATAAATTTAATGGAGTCAGATTAATTATATTTTAAATAACTGAATTATGCGTCATCCTTCAACTGTCTTTTGTTCCGATTATAGGTTCAAAGTAGCAGCACAAACTTCTGGCTTAACACACTGAATTTAAATTTCTTTATTTCTAATTGCTTTATAAATCAGTACACGTTTATTTCCATAATATAAACCTCAATCATTCAATCTGTCCTAGGTAGACATAGGGCACATACACAATAAGTTTATGGATGGCTGCTGGATGAAAATGTAAATAAATCTTCTTGATTCTGCCATACTGGTAATGTAACATCACAGCTTCATGCAGTATTTATATCTTCTAAGATGGGTATAAAATCCGATCTGCCTAAGAATCTAGGGAAGAATCTTGGTCAGAAGCTTGCAAACAAGTCTTGCAAGAGGGGAAAACATCTGTAATTTCTCTCTCTTTTTTTTTGTTTTTTACATGAGTCTTAGTCAAATTTTCTACAAATTAAATTAAATGAATAGTTCTTGTTTTATACTTGTTTTGGTTTATCTTTAGACTCTATCACCTCGCAGAACAAATGAATGTCCAGTGTATTGCTCCTAGTGTCATCCACATGCACTACAAATGAAGTTTAAAAATGCACTGCATCATGAAATGTTTTGTTTAGTATAAACATGCAGCATTGAAACCAGAAACATGCAGTCTTTGCTTTCATGACATTTTTAAAGAAATACAATACAGGGTGCACTACAACAGCAAAAGCAGATAAAATTACACAGACTAATTTCATTTTTATTTTCTAGAATAAAACGGACATCACACACTAACGATGACCATGAGATCTGCCAGAGACAGTTTAGTACAAGACAGTTCCTGATAAAATTAATTACAAGATTTTCCAAAGGTTGCCAGGCAGATTAGTGGCGTCAAATATTTGAAATATATTCAGAGTTTTGTTTGAGACAATTTTATGTTGCACAGATACCAATTTTGCGTGATTTAAGTTTAAATAATCAGGCTTGATTATTACTATATATATTTGATCTATATACAAAGATAAAAAATACTCTAATACTCTAATACAGTCTAATTATTTTTTGCAAGTCTATTATTGTGCTATAATAACCTGCCCAAAAACCAAACTGTGGTTGGTGATAGTACATGCTGCAGCAATATTATTAACTATTAGCTAAATAGTCTGGCTTTATGACACTGTTTTGCAAATTTCAGATTTAATGTTTGCTTGCATTACCAAAAAAAAAAAAACTATACTGAATAGATGTGTAATTTCAAGAGTCTATTAATGAATATTGTAACATCCCGGGACTGTCCCACCCTATAAATACGATCACAGGCCTGGTCCTCTAGTGCTGGGTTCCTTAAGTTCATATACTCTATATGTCAGTCGAGTCTCTTCAGAACATATCAGCTTGCAATATGTACTGAAGCAGTTGTATTTGCATTTTGTATTGTTCATTTTGTAAATTACACTCTAAAAAATGCTGGGTTGTTTTTTTAACTCAAATGCTGGGTTGATCCAATCTTTAATCCAATCCAATTTTGGGTTGAAAATTGGTCTTGATCAATAACTCAGCGGTGCTGGGTTGGAATGTACTTTCCCCCAAACTGATGCAACAGTGGTTTTAAAGGAGGAGGCTGCCCTGGATAATGTAAAAGATGTCGCATGCCTTTGCTGTGCTGATGGGGCTTCTTCATGACTACATCAATTATGCTAAAGAGATCATGAAAATTGGCAGCGATGCCTGATCTGTATTCATGGACTATGAAACAAACTAAGTGTATAATTTGTAAAAAAGAAAATGTTAAATGCTTGTTCTGTGTTGTTGTTTAGTAGAAATGGAGTTTACACTCTGTCATTCATACACATGCTCACATTCTTTGACACGTATATTTCTGATAAATGTTATAATATCAGTGTTAATGTTGTGGTTTATTTACTGTCATGCCAGAATAGTTTGTAAAGAACTTAACTATTAACTAAACTATTGTATAAGAGTGTTTTTGTATAATATTTTTATACAATATATAAACTTTACCAAAAAAGTCCAATTTGATCTTAAAAGTTATATTCAACAAATGTTCACTGCTTCATTTATAAACTCTGTAGCTGTTAATGCTATACTTTTCTGCATTTCTTCTTACATGCATGTTACTTTTGACAGTTTTCTCTTGTTTTAAATAAATATTTACCTTTTGATAGTCCTTCTGTGTGTGTAAAAGTGATTTGAAAATGAACAAGATTTGTAGGTTTAATGTCTAGCTTGATTTGGGTTCATTTTAGCCTAGCAGTGTAGTAATTTTAAACCATAAAAAAGCAACCTAGCATGCTGGGTCAAACATAATAACCCAACTTGTTGGGTTAAAACAACCCAGCGCTGGGTTCGTCCCTTTTTGACCCAGCGCTGGGTTGACACAATGAAGAGATATATAATATTTTTGTTATAATATGGGATATCTACAACAGTAAAATAACCAAAACCCCAGAAGACATTGAGCAAATAAATATAACAAACAGGGTAAAAATGACAAACTATTTCCATGGCTTCAACCTTTTTTTTTTACGTAAATCACGCTTTCTTTCTCCGTTCACTCTCACACATGCACACACATAGACACGCACTCGCGCGCACACACGCGGAGACGCGGACAGAAACTGCCCGAATTTATCAATAAAAGAGTTTCGCAGCTGAAAAGGTACATGACATTTCTCAGTAGCGAGGTTCTTGAAGCAGTTAAACTTAAAGATTCGCTATTAGTAGACTGCTGCTGAACACTGCTGAGAGACACACAGACGCAACACCAAGTAGGCTATTCACACGTACTTAAAGGGGTCATATGATGCTTTTTTAAAGATCGGCGTGTTAGAACGAGCCGTTTTAGGGGGGCGTGACAGAGTCTTAACTTTGATAAAGTATATCTCTTTGGTTTTGAGACTTTAGTCTTTGCAACTTCAGGGATCTTATCTATGCACAATCAGCTTGTAACACTCCAAAGAGAAAGGAAAACTTGAAATCGC